CACTGGCATGCCCGGTGTCAAGTGAATGCCGAGCTATTGCACTGTTAAGAGCCCTTGTCCCTCGCAGTCTCAATTTCTTTGGAACATGGTCGGAAATACAAACATGTACTCTTCTCTCGGTTCTTCCAATGTATGTGCTTTGGTACGTACATGTAAATTGGTAAATGCAGTTGGAGCTACTTAAAAAAAATAGTGCCTGTAAATTTTAGTTTGTTTGAGCGAGCATTTCGTTCCTCATAGCGCTGTCAGTTTTGCTGCGGTCAAAAGGGTTTTGTACAATACCCATTTTTTGTAACTCATTGGATAGAAACTGTAGTAACTGAAATAAACTCCACTCCAGATATTTTTGTGGTGAATTTATCTTCGTAATGTTCGTCTGATTCCAATATCTAAGAAATGGAATTTACCTTCTAATTCGTGTTCCATAGTAAAATCTATATCCGTGTGTGCTTTATTAAACAGATCGAGTAGGTTCTTATGATTGTTGAAGACGAGAAATGTGTCATCAATATATCTACAGTAGAGTGTAGTTCCATCGATTACGTGTTGAGCTTCTTCTGTTCCAGGTTGCCCATAAAGACGTCGGCCAGAATTGAACCCAACGGGTTACCCATGGCTACTCCAACAATTTGGTGGGACAGCACATTGTTAAACTAAAATTGTATGTTTTTGGTACACAGAAACAGGAGTTGTTTGGATTTATGGATTGGTAAAGGCAGAAGTTCAGGATATTCACATATGATGTCTGTCGTTTCTTCCAAAGGGGTCTTTGTGAAGAGTGATGAGACATCAAACGAGACCATGAATTTATCAGAAGTATTTAGGCTATCAAGCCTTTGGACAAGTTCAAAACCATCCTTCAGACTGTATGGTGTCAGTTTTTTGCGGATTGGTTCTAAGCATCTTGTCAGCCAGCGGGCGTGATTATGGAAGGGTTATTTGGTCATAGATAATAGTGGTCTTATCGGGGTGTCGGGTTTGTGTGTTTTGAGTAGGCCATATAGGAAAGGTAGTTGTGATCCTTTTGGTTTGAGTTAGTTGTATGTATGATTATCTATTAGATTTTTCTTCAACAGTTCTCTTAACTTTTTCGAAAGACGCTTCTCAGTCGCATCTGTTAGGTCTTTCTGGGTATTATCGATAATAAAACTAGCGGGATCATTTAAAAATGATATTACTTTGCCCATGTATTCATCTCTGTTTAGGATGACTATACCGAAACGCATATCTGGATGAAGTAGCAATATTGTTTCGTCTTTCATAAGTTTTCTCAATGCTTGCTGATGATCTTTAGTCAACACCTTAGATTGCGGGACTGGTGTCATAACGTACTGATTTGTAATATCCACTAATTTCGATTTCAACCAACTTTGTTTTTCATCATTCATGGGTTTAAGGTCTGACAACTGTTGATATAAATACTCGAACTGGGTTTCGGTATCAATTGTTCCACACTTTATCTTACCTCAATGTTAAATTTTATTACATTTTTGGTTGTAAGCAGGTGATGAGAAACCACGAAGTATAATGAATTCATATTATTCTGCATCCATGTTCGTTCTGGCTTTATTTAAACCGGAGATACCAATCAAGTACAAGAAAGGAAAACCAATCACTGAAATTCAAAAACAGAGGAACAGATGAGTAGAACACTTCAAGGAACTCTTGAATAGACCAGCTCCATTGAATCCCCCCAACATCGAAACAGAACACACAGACTTGATACACATATCACTCCATCAACGGTCGAAAATATGGAAATGGTCATCTGACAAATTAAGAGTGGAAAAGCAGCAGGAGCTGACAATATACTAGCCGAAGCATTAAAGTCAGAGATAGAGGTAAGCACGAAGGTGTACCACATGGCGTTAAGAAAGATATTGAAGGAAGAAAACGTTCTGACAGACTAGAAAGAAGGATACCTAATCAAGACACCAAAGAAAAGAGATCTGAGCAAATGTGAGAACTACAGAGACATCATAATATTATCGGTACCAAGAAAACTTTTCGAAAGAGTGATGTTGAACAGAACGAAAGATTCAATTGACGCACAACTTCGAGATCAACACGACGGATTCCGTAAAGATCGGTCATGCACATAATAAATCGTGGCAACACGGACATTGTTGTGCAATCGACTGAATGGAATTCGTCATTATACATCAACTTCCTTGATTATGAGAAAGCATTTGACAGTAAGGATAGGGAAATATTATGAAAACTTCAACATCAACATCATCCGGGATTCGTGAGATAGACTACACTGAAAATTCGTGCATAGAGGACACCTGACAGATGCATTCCAAGTGAGAACCGGTATCAGGCAAGGTTTCTTACTATCGTTTCATACTATCCTTCTTCTGGTAGTTGACTGGATTATGAAAAACTCCACATCTGAGGGGAAGCACGAAATATAATGGACAACTTGCATACAACTAGACGATTTGGACTTCTCAGATGAATCATCTCTTCTATCCCACAGACACCTGCAAATGCAGTTAAAGACAGTCAATGTAGCGCCAGTTTCTTCAGCAGTAGGTTTCAAAATACATAAGAGAAAAACCAAGACTCCTACATACAACATGGTGAACACCAACCCAATCAAACCTCATGAAGAAACTCTGGAATAGGTGGTAGTATCATCGATGAACGTGGAGGATCTGATGCAGACGTAAATGCGAGTATTGGCAAAGTAAGGACAGCATTCATGCAGTTGAAGAACGTGTGGAACTCAAAACAACTGTCAACCAATAAGAACGTCAAGATAGTTCTAATGTACGGAGCTGAAACTTCGAGAACTACCACAGCCATAATCAAGACAGTAAAAAAATTTCTAAACAATTATCTACGTAAGAAACTCAATATCAGTTGATCGGATACCATCAGTAATAGCCTACTGTGGGAGAGAACAAACCAGATTCCGGCTGAAGGGGAAATCGCGAAAGACGCTGGAATTGGATAGGACATACATTGTGGAAATCATCAGACTGCATTACGAGGCAAGTGCTAACTTTAAATTCTGAAAGGAAACAGAAAAGGTGTAGATTAACGAGCACATTGAGTCGCGGATTGAAGGTAGGCATCAAATGAATTAATAGCACCTGGAAACAACTGGAAAGGATTGTTCATGACAAAGTTGGATGGAGAATGCTGGTCGGCGGCCCATGATTCACCAGAGGTAACAGGTGTAAGTAGGAGTAGCATGTGATCAATAGTGTATGTTCATAGAAGCCTGGGAATAATAATGTAACGATATGGGTAAATTGTTACCATCACCACTGACACTAATAAATGGGTGAATTAAATGGAGACAAATTAAGCGTCCTTCAAATCACTCAACCGATTTATGAAAAATTCAACGATTCAATAACAACACTTCATCGTCATGTTATACAGTATGTGTTGACTAAGATCACTTATTGTAGTCACATTAATTAGGTAATGATGGGTACAGGACCTAGGAGTTAAAAGTAACTTTTATTGCCCTCTTTGATATCTGATTGATTATAATGCTTTAACTGGAACTCTTAATTTCTATAATTCATTTTCAATCATTTTTTTCAAGTTTGAAATGACATACTTCCGTTGGTATAATTGAGTCCCACCAACAGACACTAACCAAGTCAATACCGTAAAGATCAAGAAAAAGAAAGTCCAACTGTCCAAAAGAAACACAGCTTTGTGAATAAATGACAAATATGGGATAATTTTTTCAAACGCATTAAACGAATAGACGGTTAATAAGCAAAACTGTTTTTTTATATTGTATTTATATTAAAGTTGTGAATTATTTCCACCGTAATAACTCAATCGATAAGATAATAAGTACGAATTTGAAATGGTAATGAAAAAAAATATTTGAAACATTTATGTTCTTTTTTGCAAGTCATCACTTGTTTGGTGTACATTTTCACATAGAAACAGTCCAACTCAAATACACAAGTAAGAACAATTGATTTTCATTCAAATAATGAACTTCTATTAATGAAAAGTAGTGGATCAATAAGGTCTAGAAATGATCAATATTCTTGCTCAACATCTACATTGTCTACAGTTTTAACATCTTAAACGATAAAATGGATAAGTATTGATTTTTACTGTGAACGTATATGCAAATGATGTTTGACCACAAGTTCAGTCATTTTCCCCTCTGAGTCATTAATTAAAATTCCGTTTTTTTTTAAAAAAGCAACTTAATTCATCCACAACTTAAGGATACATTAAATAATATAATTAAATGTGACCCTTTAACCACGTAGATTCTAGAAAATCCTCCATTGATAGATGCAGTTCTCTACACTGAACATGATAACCTAAATTCATATTTAAGATAGACTACATCCCAGAAACACATGATGCCTGCATCTAGTTTGTGTGTAGTGGAAGTCACAAATACTGTACTAGACAATCATTGAGTTTTCTTACAAACAAGAAGCCTACCAATAGAAACTTCGTAACAGGCGAAACTCAGGAAGTCAAATAATTTGGATGAAATTATGGAAACTAATTGTATAAATGTCAAATAATTATTACTACTATAGTAGAAGGTTGTTAAATTACGTAGTCTAAATCAGTTAGACAACTAATGAAATTCAAGGAGAATCGGATAGCTGTTAAAGAGCCCGTCCAAGACATCCTGGTTACTAATCCCTGTTTATTTGAAATCAATCAGTGACGTGAACTACCAAATAATCATTTTTTGTTGTTGAACAATCATGCGGGCTGAAGTAAGTTTAGCAACTTTGTTCAAATGTACAGCAAACATTAAAGAAAAATACTGCACATAGCGGTCGTACATAAGGTAGGCAAATAACTATAGGCAGCAACGGTGTGGATACCACTTAACTCTGAGTCATTTAAGAGTTACTTACATGTCGTTTCTGAAACACTAATCTGTCAAGTCAATTAAACCAACCCCGTTTGTCTATTCAAGGTCATCATGTGAGCTTATCACGATTCGTTCGTTAGATTGTATGCATCAATTTGTGACCAATAAAAGCAATCAACTGTAACCTTGAGTTGTGATTCGTTCATCATAAGGAATGGAACTAGGGCTCATTGTCTTGCTGTATTGATTGGACATATCGACATCGATGCCGGATGCTTCTGCCGTAAGGATTTTTTATTTCTTACTATGATTTCCAAAGATTTCCAAACCGCTGTTGCTTAAAGGAGGCACAGTCGTGAACCATGACGTATCTTTCAAATCAGATGTTTTAATTGATAATGGTATTATTCAGTAAGTGAAGTACGCTTAGTTCTCACTCATAGGGCTGTTGGTGAAAACCTTAGTTACCCCAACGGCACAGAAATTATCGACGTAAATAATAAATTATTATTACCTGGTATGTATTTAACCAAATTCACTTACGATTTTGAACAGGCGGAATTGACTTGGACTGTCACATTGGTGTCGCAACCTCGAATGACCCTATAGCTGATACTTACCTATCTTCAGGAAAAGCAGCTCTTTTTGGTGGTACAACTACAATTGGTATGTAAACATTTTCACTCCCATAACTTTAAAACACAAATTAGTTTTATAATATTAAAGTCGAATTATTCATTGCTATTTAAGTTGTTTGGTATTGTTTCACAATCTAAGAGAAAATATGCTATCCCTCAGACAGTCACGTTATTTATTTATTTTATTTAGTTGAACACATTTATATTCGTACAGGAGTGCGCCAAACATGACAGTCACGTAATAGACTAGTAAGAGAATATACAATATTCGTATTCTCAAACTTGTTGGCTCTGTTGAGTTTAGTAGTGCGTTACCCATAGAGTTTTTCCAGAAATGTCAAAGCTACTTACTATCGATTTTAATCAAAAGTAAACAGTGAAAGCCTTAATTAAGCGCTATAAATCTAATAAACGAACTGTAAAAATAGCTAAGTTTGTCAACAGTACTTTTTTGTATCTTTGGTTATTAGCCCAACTTTTAAAAGGCGTTTGCAGATTTTTTCATACTGTCCAACCGCCTAGAATTTGTTTGAACTAAGACTTAACGAACGAAGCTTGGTTCGTTGGTTTGATGTACCCGAGTTGGTCCATATCTGGTGTAGTGGTTACTACCAGACATCTAACGATACTTAGCTCTTTTGAACTTCTCTGGTCTACTTGACTTGAGACGTTTCGTTATCTTTAATCCATATCTAAAGAAGTAGACGGTTTGTGTTGTTGTACAATGCAACTGTAAGATACATAGTTCAAAATATTATATATAAAACCTCGTTTTCATACTGTTTTGGTTTGGCGCACCCGCGAAGTACATCTGTGGTGAAAGGTAATGTTAGATAAAGGGAACGAGTCAGTTAATATGGTTGTAAATCAAAATTCCGTGAAACAATTGAAATGCCGATCATATTTCAGAAAGAGGTGAAATATCAGGGTTTTGAAGGTTACATAAAGTGCGCGATGTATTGAAGGTTAACAACTAAGATGCTCAAGTAAATTGGCTTTCAAAGACAGCATAGTTACACTATTAATCTGTGTCTATATTTTGCCAGTTCAACTTCTTATATTGACTGAACAAGTGATTTTACTTATTCTCTTTTAATCAAAGCAGTGGTAATCCATCCTTATTACATTTAGTGTTTGTTTTCAGAGTTTGTGAGTACCAGGCTTTCCGACTTAATGTATCTTAATAGTTTGACCACTTTAAACTCATTAACATAGCGAAAAAACCGTTCAAATCACCGTAGTTGGTGAGTATCCACAAACTCGTCAACCCATTTGCCATTTTTGCTCAGTACTTTACCTGACTTCAGCATTACCCACTTGATGTTCCCATTGTATCCGATCAATAATTTGAAGATATTAATAGTCAGTTGTTGGTAACCTATTAATTTCCTACACCTTAAAAGTATATTTCTCATAGCCATAAAGTAATTTAACCCACTGTTAAGGTGAAGCTCACCACCAGCATTTAGAGTTGCCATTATCTGAAACTTGTGTCGTGGGTTAAAAAACACTAAAAATTAGTTTCAAGCTGTCATAAAGATCATTAACATGAATGTATTGGCAAGACTACTACTACATATGCTCTTCTAAATGTCACCCTTTTATTACTCATGAAGAAACAGTCACTCATCACATCTTTTTTGATTAATAAAGTCTACTTTATTTTGTTTCGTTTTGAGTTTTCGTATATGTTTCCAATTTATTTTATCCTTAGTAAACACGGTTAATGCTTATCCTGGGGAATCACTAATAGATGCATATGAACAGTTTGTATCATCAGCGCATGAAAACCTAGCATGCGATTATGGTGTATGCTTGCGGTTGACTGGCTTCTCATCAGAAACGAACAACGAGCTGAATACTTTAGTTCAAGATAAAGGAGTGGTGCTATTTTCTGTTCGTGTGGGTTCAAAATCTTCATCTGTGGTAGATAATGAACAGTGTATTATCAATGAAGAAGAATTTTGTTATTTCTTAAAGGCTTGTCGACAACTAGGAGCGTTGCCAATGCTTGAAGCAGCTACTTCTGTGTCGTTAGCTCAGAAATTATCCTCAGACGTGCAAATCAGTTGTCCTGATATTGGTCCAGAAGTCAATTTATTGGTTTCACCGGAAGACGCTGAGGCAAATAGTATATTGCAAGGATCTTTGTTTTCACAACATGCAGGATTTTGTTGTCCGCTTTTAATTTCTAGAATTCATAGTAAAGCAGCACTAAATTGCTTCATTGAACAGCGCCGTATGTGTAGAGGTATATTATTTGGACAAACTAGTATCCCCGCAATAGCTATTCCTCTTTCTTTAATGAACTGTGATGATCATCCTGACGACGTGTTAACCCATTCAAAGAATTGGGCTGTTGCTGCTAGTTACATGTGCGACCCTCCATTACGACCAGATACTTATCTTAGCCGAAGGTTGCTGACTCACCTCGTCTCTGAAGACTTGGCTTGCGTTGGTTCAGGTCATCGGGCAATAACTACTGCAGTTCGTGCAGCTTTTGGGTCAAAAAGTGCTGTACATATACCTCGTGGTATAGCATCTTTGGGCTATAGAATGGTTGCCTTATGGCATTTTGGGGTTGAAAGTGGATTTTTGGATCCTTGTACGTTCGTCAAAGTAACTAGCTCTAATCCTGCAAGATTAATTAATGTTTATCCTCAGAAAGGCAGAATAGAAGTAGGTTCCGACGCCGATATATTAGTTTGGTCAAACTCCTATAAGCAGGACGTTTTGAAAAACATTTTACCCGATGGTGTGCCTAACCTATTTTCTAACACTTCTGCTTATCATTCGGGACCTGAAGTGGTTATATTACATGGTCATATTGTTGTTCAGAATACCGAGTTTTCAAATAACACTTCCACTTATGGGAAACTGCTTGTTTGCCGACCATTTTCTCGTTATGTGTATGCTCGTGTCGATGCAGTGGAAAGAAGTGTCAATTCCGAATTTAAAATGCTCCAACGCGAACCATACGTAGGAAATGCAGTTTCCATTACTACTGAAACTTCAAATGATAACAAGGAAGGGTACTACTTTCGGAAAGAATATTATGATAATATACCCAGAGGTTAGTTAATTTTTTACGCTATGCATAGTTTGATTTCGCACATGCAAAGATCCAGCAAGAAACTGAGTATCAACACCGGGATGCTAGTACATTTAGCTGATGAGTCCCAAGCAGGACGGAACGCGCATCATGAATTCTACTACTAATCATATTCCGTCAGTCTCACAAAAACAACACTGTGTTCACTGACTCTTATGCAGTCATAATCCGAAAATCTACTATATTGTATTCCAACCCCTAAACCTTTTCAACACTTCAATTTGGGGATCATTAGAGTCAATATCAATAAACTAACTAAAGCCTAAGTTTAATAGGTCAGTAGTTAAACAAACGCGTATCACTTGCTATCGCTAGTTTTTCTCTAACTACGTGACATTTTCATTAAACGACATAACTATAATGACCATCACTTTCACGTGGAACTATATGTAGTTAAATTGCAATGAAAATAACCTAACTGTATAGTTAATTATTAGGCTAACAAATTTAGTGTGTCTTTTGTGTAAGCATACTACATTTGTAATGCAGCGGCTCTATCAAATAATAATATACCAAAGAGAGAGATGAGCAAACACAATCATCAATGTTTCATGATAAGAATACCGTCGTCATGTAAGCACTAAAAACATGAAGCCTACGTTGAACGACTTTTTATTTACTCTATACTAACAAATTATTTGTAGCTCACATCGCTTGCTTTTTAAATATATTTTAGTGGCCTTACCACCTGGTCAGAGAAAAATACACACGTCAGTTAAAACGGCTCAACCTCCCGGTGGTTCATCGAATGCGTTTTGGTCAAACGAATAAGAAAATCCATTGTTTGTGGATGTTAACTTCTACATTTTTGATTTCTAGCTTTATATTTCACTTTGAGTAATTTCCATGGTGCATTTCAACTAAACCAACTGACTTTCCTTAACTATTTACGTGTCTTAATATCATTTCTTTGATTAAAACAGCCATTAATGTTGTGCGAACTATTTGTTAAGTAACAATCTAATAAATTCAATTACGAGTTATCCTTTTATACATTCCGATCGGTTGATTGTCTGATGGTTCTAAAAATATAATGAAGAAAGCCTTGTTTTGTAATCTTTCAACCATAACGTATGAACTATAGAAGCCTCCAAAGTTACACACTAATTTAGACCAATACTCTAGAGATTGATGAAAATGCACGATCTTCAAATAGTGTTTTTTAATGTCCAACCGCTTTTTTCTGGATTACAAGCGTCACCTATCACTGTATTTTCATGTCAATCACCAATTGATGTTGCTCTTTGTCTGATCTAACCTGAGATTCATTCCATCTTATTTTTATTAACACCAGGATAGTACTAAGACCTCCAGCCTGTTAATCACTACAATCTTGTTAATTGGTTTAGCCTAACTTACTGGAACCTAACGCCCAACTTCACGATCTCTCACTCCGTGGTACGGATGCACATCTATTTTACGAACACACTCAACCTTGATGTGTGTGGGGAAACCAGTAAGAATACATTTTCATGCATTATGTAACACCATGGTACAAGTATGCTTGCCAGATTAAAATTAAATCAACATATGTAAGGTTACGGATTATGTTTACTGGTAAATATGACAGTGCGTTGTTCTTTCTTAAATTCGTTTCATTTCGTCGTTTAGTTCCAGCTGGTAGTTAAAGAATAGCCGATTGTGCTGTGGATGGAGATTTTGGTTGGTGAGACAAAATGCTAACTGTTAAGATAAATGAGAGGAGCATCGATGGATAAGTGATATGGTTTGATCAGATGTCTACGAGAATGACTGGTTTAGGTCAAAGAAAAGCATACCAGTTAGAATGATAGGTTTTCTTTGTGATAATGTGCGTTATATACAAAATAATGATACATAATTAGCAAAACTCCATATGTGGTTGGAGGCAATTAGTTTGTGGGTCATTCATTCTGTAATCCATTAATTCCTGTTAGTCAGGCCCAATCCTTATATATCGTATCAGGTCGTTAAAGGGGGTTGACTTCTCTGTCGACAGTAACCCCATTTGTATGCTTTCTTCTTGAAATGTAAGTTAAGAAGCAATCGCTATACGAAAGTACAGCAGGTCATGCATTTGCTTAATTGTCGAGTAGCTTCTATGCCCAATTAACTCTTGCTTGCGTTCATATACATGGTCCAATGTTATCTCGTCCTAGTGAGGTGGTTATGTAACAAGTCTGATTCCAAGTTAAATATCTTACAATATGCTGGTTGTCAGTAACAATAAGTAGCGTGATGGGATCGGGTAGTAACATCTAACAAGGCTTGTCCCACTGTAATAATCTCGAAAATTAAATAACTATGTTAATTTTATACCAAAGTATAATGACTAAATGAGTATGTATATAAGTTATTTCTCTTCATTAAATAAGGATACTACTACCTAGTCTTCTACTCAATTATTTTGACTTGGAGACTGTCAGTAAATATACTAAGTTAGTTTTTTTCACTTTTATGAAGGGTTACTGCTCAGCAACCTACTTCGTCTAACATCACTAGTCGATTGCCTTTTTAACAATTAAATTGTTATCGTAATATATTACGATTAGGTAGTATCTTGTTTATGTAATTAACATCACTAACCGATTGCGGATATATTGACCGAGAGTTAAAATAGCAATATTATTGAATATATATATTCAAATAATTAGACCAATTGACACACCCATTAACAAGAAACGGAATCAAGATGGAATGAATGGACGCCAGATTGAACTGACGTAATAATAGTATTGGATCAACGCGAGTTAGACATTTTCCTACTTGTATCGGAACTACAATAACCCTACCATTAGAATATTCAGGAACTGTATTACTAATGGGTACAGTGGTGATAGAATTACCACAAATCGTTATAATCCGGGACTGTAGTGTGACGACTTAAACCCACACTAACATTAGACAGGTCTAATATGAATTAGAATGGAATGCAATGAAGTGACATCTATTCAGTGTGCAATAAAAAGCGTATTATATACTATAGTATATATATATAATAGGTCATGGGAATGATAGAATAAATTGAGCATGTAGGCAGGCGAACAAACATTTAAAATAGAAAGATTTAAGAGTAAAGGTTTAGGACTAATCATAAAACCGAGCACACTACAACAGACTGAATCGAATTAATACATTTGATGATCATATGCTAGGTAAGATCTTGCTATCCAAAATGAGTATACAGTTGTGTGAGTTCGACATGTCTATGTCAATTAATATAGATAACTAACCAGTTGCGAATCCTACAGTTGCTCAACATTTAAGAATGATTGTTCTTCTACAATGACTAAAAAGATATTCAGTAGGCAATAGACCATAAAATATTGAAGGAAATAAAAGAATTATGATCAAATTGAATGCATATATTCAAGACAAGAAAAATATTGATCACTAATTCAAGAAAAAGATATCAACAATGTGAGGGGGAATATTCATATAGTCGCATGCAAAGTTAACTAACAATAGATGATTAAATGCGAGATGATTGTATGTGGTGTTTGTATGAACTATTGATGACTGTGTAGTGACTCACGTTTATTACGAGAACACGACTGGTTCAATAAAAACAATTATTATTATAAACAGTTGTACCAGTGTTTATTTTAATGTGCTTTTGTTTGACTGTGCTAATGACAGTTATATTGGGCTTCCATTCTTGTTCTTACACTTCGATTGTAATTTCGCGCGAATTCGGTTACCTTCTGTAACCAAGCTTCTATCCTGGCACGATCTTGGTATCCTTTCGATACCACGAGATCGCCAGTAAATAAATCCGAACTTGGTCCATTTTCTGCCTTCTGATATTTGGCTTCTCGGGGTTTTTATGGAGTCATTTGGAACGAGCTTTTTGGTAGCGGTGTTCAAAGTCAATCGCGACTCGACACCACGCTACAACTGTCTGCTTTCGAATTCCGAATGCAATACATTCGTTTGTGCTTGTAGTGACTTACTTTTATCACGAGAACACGATTAGTTTAATGAAAACAATTATTATTATAACCAATTGTACTAGTAACTGTTTTATTGTGCTCGTTTCTTTAACTGTGCTAAAGGCAGCCATATTACTGCTCCATTATCTTTCTATTGTGACCTTGCACGAATTCGGTCATGCCAACAAATACATCTCGACAATAGCCATCAACTGCCTTCTGATATTTTGCATACGGGGGATTTTATCGTTTAACTGGCACGTAATCTTCTTGTAGTGGTGTTCATAGTCAATCTCAACTCGACTCCACGCTACATGCTCACCTAGTGCTGTCTACTTGGGTTGCATTATTTCAGGGATTCCTAATTAGCACAATAATTCAAATGGTCACATTGTATCTGTGAATTATCCCTCAAAGTGGCTTGTAAGCACTCGACATTGATGCTGCACATTTTAGTTTTACTGCACACGCCACTAACTAAAGACGTTCGGCCAATCAGTTTCCTATCTGCCGCCTGTATGTAAAAACCTATTCGTGCGATCGTTCGTTAGTACTTGCCGGAATAACACTAACGTTTGTGTCAGTGTTGACGAGATAGAGAACTTTCGTCATCACAACAGACGTCTATGTTCAACGGCTACGGTTGCCGTCAACGCATACATCGTTTACCCCAGAGGTGTGTTGTATATTTGAGGTTAACTGTGAAATGTAGTCCACTTCTTAAGGCTATCGATGGGAGTGCTTTCCCACAGATCAGCTTAGTGAGGTAAGAGGTTTACGCTCGCCAAATAGAACGGAATCACAGCCTTCTACAGTGTTGAAAATGTCGTACAGCACAGTACACGGCTAGGAGTTCGCTACCGAAACTGTTATACCTTGATTCGTTGTCTTGCAACCGTCTCGCGAGGAATGCTGAAGACAGAAAAGTGTTGTTTACCGATTGTTGTAAGACTCCTTTGCTAACAAGTCGATTGCATCTACTGCGATAATAATGGGTGTTTCGGTGTGTGAGCAACGTTGCTTTGGTGATAAGTTATGTAACTGTGGAAAATGCCTTTATTGCGTTGTCGTCCAAATTGATGAATTTCACACTTGCACGAAGTTGGTCGGTTAGGAGTTTCATGAGAGACGCGCGATTCGGTACAAACCGTTGATAAAACTTACCAGACCGTTGAACGTACACAATTAATTGACTGTGATCAGTTCTAGGTAATCCCGAATGGCCACCACATTACTTTTAATAGGTTGGATGCTTTAAGCATCGATATTCTGTCCTGGTAAATCTAGAGAGTTTGTACCAACTTGATACTTTTGAATGTTTACGGCAATGCCGTGATTTTGCATTCATTCGGAAACAAAGTTTGCATGCTGAAGATGAAATTCTATGATCGGACTTGCGACCAAGCAGTCATCTACATGTGCAAGTACGAAAATGAGACATCGAAAGACGTCATCGATGAGTCATTGAAAAGTTTGTGAAAAATTTCTTCACCCGAATCGTATGCACGGAAATCCATAGAGTCCAAAGGGAGTGGTGATAGTGGTATTAGAAATGTCACCTGCAATCATATGAATTCCGTTATGTGCTTTAATCGGATTGATTTTCAGAGACTATAGTAAATTCTAAGGTGGCTGTCTGGTCGTGAATATGCGGCAAGGGGTAGCGATCAGGTATTGCTTTTACATTCAGTAGTCGATATTCACCAGTTGAACGCCAATCATTGCTGTCCTTTCCAGGAATAACCTGTAAGGGAGATGCTCATAGGCTGTTCGATGGACAAAATATTCCTAAGTCTATCATCTAGTCTAATCCGTTTTCGACCAACCTTAACTTTCCGAAAACTAGTCACAGAGCTTTCGAGATGCAGGTTGTCCAGTTGTCGTGATGTGGTGCGCAAAGTTGCTGGTTACTCACGGTCATTTTACTCGCGTTCGTTACAGATCAGGGAACTTGTCAAGTATCTGTCAGTAGAAGCCGTCGATTATGTGCCTGAAAATGACTGAGGAAAATGTAAAACTGAAAAAGGAAGTTAAACGAACATATACGTTTGTGCTTCCGTGGTGTTGTAGCAGGTCTACACCAGTGTTTGGCACAGAAATATCTGAAATTCAGTTAATAGGTTTACGAAGACCC